GGTGGAATTGGAACCGATGTGTGCGTGATTATGGATAATCAGCAATGTAATGAATGTTATGGAAATAATGTAAAGACAAAAAAGGATTTTTAAAGTAGTTTGACAAGTTGGAACATGAGCCTACGTCCACAATTCTTCTTATTTGCTTCGAGAGCTTAGCAAAAAATATTATAATGCCTATATCAATTTGCTAACCCCTTTTCCATTGTTGGAAGAGGTTTGTATACAAGTTTTTTACAAACGAAAGAGCGAAATTAAAGGAATTACAATTAACATTGAAATGTAACTCCAATATTCTCGTGATTGAGTGCTAAAATCATGCTATCATTGATGTTGATCTGATCTCTTTCAAAATTTTTGGGATCTAAGCTTATCTGAGATTTGCTTGAACAACTGTTGAGGTTGGTCTCGACTAGCTTATACTGGGTCGAGTTATGTCTCGACGAGTTTTTGTTGGGTCAAACAAGTGTTTGAGTCGAACTGATTTTGGGTCGATCTATAACCTTGTAAAACTCTGACTTCTCCAAGCTTGATGAAAAAAACACACACAAAACTTTATGTTACTAATTAAAATTTTATATTTTATACATAACATTATTAGTTTAAAAATTACCTTAAAGACTAATTTTCAAGTTGCCGCAACATGGAAATAGAGGCAAGATCAGGAAGAACTTACACAAATATCGAGGAAATGTAACACGTCATATCGAGCGATGCCTAATCTCTATTATTCGAAGATGTTCCGTTGCCCCCAGAGGCTCGAAATCCATCTACATTCATTCGAAAGAACATTCCCTATTGCATGAAATATTCTGAGCTCAACACCACCACGTACCCCTGAAGCATCTATTATGTGTTGACAAGCTAGGACTTAATGACACTTCTGCATGCATAAAAACCAAAAATACTTCAACATAACCATTCGCCACTACCTGAAACATCTACTAATTTTTTCACCTATAAATACCACTCTCTGTAGTCATCTTCTTCACAACAATCTCTAGTTCTATTCTCTCTACCTAGCTAATCATGGGTTACTCTTCTTTGCTCTCTCTTAGTCTTGGCTTTCTTCTTCTATTTCATTGCAGTTTCGCTCAGATAGAACAGGTTGTAAATTCACAGCAACGACAACAGCAGCAACGCTTCCAGACTCAATGCCAAATCCAGAATCTCAATGCTCTTGAGCCCAAGAGGAGGATTGAATCTGAGGCTGGTGTTACCGAGTTCTGGGACCAGAATGAGTAACAACTACAATGCGCTAATGTCGCTGTGTTTCGCCACACTATCCAGAGCAGAGGCCTCTTAGTCCCTTCATACAACAATGCTCCTGAGCTAGTCTACGTTGTTCAAGGCAAATTCAATGCTTATTTTTTCTAACATTAAGATGTGATATACATCTGTAATTACATTTTGATATTATCCTAACATATGAAAATAACATTTTTGCAATGGTCAATTCAGGTAGTGGCATTCATGGAGCTGTATTCCCAGGTTGTCCTGAGACATTCCAAGAAGAATCACAGTCACAGTCACGGTCACAGCGCTCAAGATCAGAAAGGAGTCAGCAATAAGGAGAACAGCACCAAAAGGTCAGGCCTATCCAGGAGGGTGATGTCATTGCATTGCCTGCAGGAGTAGCTCACTGGATTTATAACAATGGCCAGTCCAAGCTTGTTTTGGTCGCACTTGCGGACGTTGGCAATTCCGAGAACCAGCTCGACCAGTACCTTAGGGTAACAAAAGCAACATTAATTCTATCAATTTACTTAGTATATATAGCAATATTGTCTATAATTCTGTAAATTATTCATTTTGAAGAAATTCGTCCTGGGTGGAAGCCCACAACAAGAAATTCAAGGTGGTGGTCAGAGCTGGAGCCGAAGCCGAAGCCAAAGCCAAAGCAGCAGAAGAGGGAAAAAGGGACAGCAAAGCAACAATATCTTGAGCGCCTTCGACGAGGAGATACTTGCACAATCTTTCAACATAGACACTCAGCTAGCCAGAAGACTGCAGAAAGAGAAGAGGCAGAGGGGCATTATTGTCAGAGTTCAGGAGGACCTTGAGGTACTATCACCACACAGACAAGAACAAGAACAAGAATACGAAGAAGAAAGAGAGCGAAGACAGAGAAATGGTTTAGAGGAAACCTTCTGCACAATGACGCTGAAGTACAACATCAATGACCCAACACGCCCTGATGTCTATAACCCACGTGGTGGACGCGTCTCTAGCGTCAATGCCTTAAACCTTCCCATCCTTAGATTCCTGCAACTTAGTGCTAAGAAAGGAGTACATCACAGGGTAAGAAAATAATTTAATACATATTAGACTGTCACAGTGTGCATAATTATTTTAAAATTGAATTTTCTAACTAATAAAAACGCTTATTTACTTATATACTTGCATGTTTTCAGAATGCTATCCTGGCACCTCACTGGAACGTGAATGCTCATAGCATAGTGTACATCACAAGGGGCAATGGCAGGATTCAAATTGTCTCAGAGAATGGAGAATCTGTATTCGATGAGGAAATTCGTGAGGGTCAGCTTGTGGTTGTTCCACAGAACTTTGCAGTGGTGAAGAGGGCAAGCAGCGATAGATTCGAGTGGGTATCATTCAAGACCAATGGACTCAGCCAGACCAGCCAGCTAGCTGGACGTGTCTCAGTGTTTAGAGCGCTACCATTGGATGTAATCAGGAACTCGTTTGGTATATCCAGGGAAGATGCGTGGAGATTGAAAGAGAGTAGGTCTGAGACGACAATTTTCGCTCCAGGGTCGAGCTCACAGCGAGAGAGTCAAAGCGAGAGGGAGAGACAGAGGGAGAGGGAACAGAGGGAGAGGGAGGAGAGGCAGAGACACTGAGCTAAGCCCTAAGTGTATGATTGTAAACAAAATACGTCCGTATGGACGACTATGTATGTAGAGGTTAAGAAATAAAGCCCTTAGTACGAATGGGGTTGTTGTAGGACTAGACTGCCGGAGCGCGTTCCTAAGTTTTATTGCAACAATCAAAATAAATGTTTCATCTATGATGGTTTATCTAGTCTTGCCACCAGTTTGTTTTATAATTTTTACTTTTCATTTTAGAAAATATTCTCTTCATATAAAAAATCTTTCTTAACATGATACAATGCAACAAATTTATAAGAGAGCAAAAGTTTTCCGTACAATATGCTCATTACAAGTCAATGAGACAACAAGAGGCCCCAAGTAAACAGGCTGAGAATCAAGGCGCAACATTGCAACAATAAAACGTGGCCCAAAGAAAAAGCCACACCGCTAGAAGCCCTGTCATGAAGACATAAATTGGTTGTTAATAAGCTTTACCTTCGAAAAATGTTCTATCTAATCATCCTATAACTGTAATTTTAAAAATAAATATATATGGTATAACAAATTAGATTGATATACTAAATATTGAAGCTAAAGTTGATGCTAGATTACTTATGGGACATGAACCACAGGATACGATGAAAACAGTAGATATATAGCATCCATTTATTTCAATACCAATTCAATACTTTTAGCGTAAAAATAACACTTTAAAGAAAAAATTTATTTCATTCCAAGCTTGATTTGAACATTAATTATCCTCTGGCTTTGGTAGTTTGGTTTAGAGATCTTGGCTAATTTTTCTTCTAATCTAAAGAAAATTTCAACTGCAAGACCTAGTTAGTAAATTCGCGTTTTATACGCGAATTATACGGCTAGCCGTATAATTCCCGTATAAAACGCGAACTCACGTATTTTATTAGGGCTGCCGTATAATTCGCGAATTATATACCCTATCCGTATAATTCGCGAATTATACGCGAATTTTTGCCGAATTTTTGCCGAATTTTTGCAGACAAAAAAATAATTAAATGTTAAGGCAAAACGACGTCGTTTTGGTTGGGTTTGACTAAAATTAAAGAAAATCTCCTTCCTCTTCCTCGGTTCTCTCTTCCACAGTCTTCATCTCTTCTTCAAATCTTCAACAATTCAACTCTTTTTTCTTCATCTCTTGACTCTTTGAGTCTTGATCTCTTGTTCTCTTCTCTTTTTAACTCTCTTCTCCAAGCTTTAAGTCCAAGACTTCAACTCTTCAAGCCTCAAGCTACACACTTCTTCTCTTCTCTTTTTAACTCTCTTTGAATCTTGTATGTTGGTGATTTGTTTGTGTTTGTGCTGGTGTGTGAGTAGTAGTAATAGGGACTGGTGGATTGATGGATTTGTTATGTTGGTGGATTGATAGATTTGTTTAAAAAATGTTTGATAAAATGATTATGAGAGTTATATTTGGTATCTGTTTTAACATAATATTTCATTTAGTTCTGTTGTTTTGTGTTGTATGGGTCAAAATGAAAAGACTAAAGATCATCTATGAAAGCAAAAGGTAAAGGCAAAACTGCAAAAGAAAAGCATGAATTCATAAAAATAATATTGTCGGGCTTGGATTTGGAATTGGCAGATACTTAAAGAAGAAGAAAAAAAACAACAAACCATCAGCTTGCAACCAACGCCAACTGCAAATTGTAAACCCATGTGCACTCTATCATGTTTTTAGATTTCATAAAACTATTATTATTTGACCTTTGAATGCACTATCCAATTAAATTCAGAACATAAAATTCAGAAAATAAAACAACTATACTAATTGGAATCCAAATTTTGTATGCGTAGCTATAAAATTACGGATAAAAATACTAGTCTTAGTTATTGTTCAAATATACTTTAAATAAAAAGAAAAATAAATTGTAGGGTCGACCACAATGGATTATTTAAATTGGGATGTTTTGAAAAGTGCTAAAACCAAGATTATTATTGCCGTATTTTTCAAAACGTATTATTGACAATGTGTTGTATTAAACCCGTATATATCCGAATCGTATTTTTTCCGTATCCGAATTTTATGACCGAATTTTTACAAACGTATTTTTCACCATTTGCCGTATTATACCCGTAAAATTCCCGTACCGTTTTTTTGCCGTACCCGTATTTACTAACTAGGGTTGCCATTTATAATTTTGCTGCTTCTGTTAGTGAGTTGCCTAGTCCTATTTCCACACACTCGTCTTTCGGTGGTAACTTGTCTTTAATCGCTGGGTGGCTGAGAAACTTGCTGATCCAAGATGTAATGGCTGGAAATTTCTCTTCCTCCATGAGTTGCATAGACCCAACTTTTTCCCAAACGGGTAGCCAGTAAGCGATCCACCCAAATGCAAGATCCAAATACCCAATCCCCTCTCCTTCAAAGTACTTCTTTTCTTTGAGCTCTCCCTCGATCTTTTCCAAGGCTTCTATTGATTCTTCAATTGCCTTCGCTTTTTCCTCTCCTTTCGACCACATTGCCTTCCATGAAGCTTTCAATTCTCAAAAGCTACACCAACGCATGAAGTACAACAAAATAGTGAGCAAAAAGGCAATAAAACAGAGTGAAAACAGAGGAACAGGAATATTTACCTTTTCATCTCCATATTTGGCCCAGAAACGTGCCATGGCTTTTTGATGAGGATCTCTACGCAGCAGTGGATTTTGTTCCCAAGTCTCATCGATATACTTGAGAATAACATATGACTCCGGGGTTCCTTTTTGTCATGAACAAGCACAGTGTTGATACCAAAAAAGGCACCATCAAAGAGATCCAATTGACCATGATGGAATCGGAACGAATGTATGCCTGATTAATTAAAATTAGCAAAGAGTGTAATGTAAATGACAAAATAATGAAAATAACACAAAAAAGTTTTTAAAGTGGTTTGGAGAGTTGCTTCTCAAACCTACATCCACTGTGTTTATTGCTTTGCCTTTTACTGAATAATAATTGTTAACCCCTTCTACATCATTCTTTGGGGGTATTTATACATGAATTTCAAAATGGAAAATGAGTTAAATCTGGGATAGCAATCACACTTGATGTATATCCCATGATTTCTGCGATTGTGCGTCAAAGTCGAGCTAAAAGGATATTGGCAATATCCTCTTTGAAATATCAAGAGATATGGACTTATCCTTTGAGCCGTCGGATAGCTGTTAAGTAGGTTGCAACGAACTTTGCTTTGGTCGAGCTTTATCTTCTTGCGACCTTAAGATCGCAGCGAGCTCTATATGTCAGTGAGCTTCATGTTTCACGAGCTATTGACATTTCCGAGCTTACAGCAAAATTCACACACAACATATGCGCCCCAGTGTCGGAGGTCGTGTCGAGCTTCGAAAACTGAATCCTTGAGGTTTGTTGTTTGCACTCGAATCCTTTACTGACCTAACTCATGCAAACATGATTTGTTAGAATTTTGACGAGTTGTAATATGCAACCTCGGCTCACGGTGACGTGCTTAAAACTCTGAAGCTTTTCATTCAACGGTTCCAAAGTTGCAAAATAATAGGGCATTAAGGTAATCTTTCAAGCTGGCTTGTTATGCATAAAATGCTGTCGTACATGGTAGTTAATTTTTGTTGCACGTTTTACAACGATAGTTGGCCATGTGCGTAATTGAAGCGACGTGCAGCTACGATTATGATTACTGGGAATGGCGATTATGCGCCCTTCACGGATCGTTACCACATGTCCCGATTGAGTGGATCAGATTGCTCGACGATGGAGGGCTGAGATTCATCATCAAGTGAACGGCCAGATCACTTCCAGCCTAATTTTTGACACTATCAAACGGGCTCTGCAACCTAATTTTTCAAAAAATTTAACTCTTGACTTTTCAGCTTCTCTATTGCTTTCTCTCTCTCTCTCTCTCTCTCTCTCTCTCTCTCGACCAACATTCTCTTTAGTTCTTCTACTGCAATTTTCCAACGAAAATCATCATTTTCCATTTGCAAGTAAGTACTCTAACCTTGCTTTTCCGATTTCCTTTGTTTTAAGTGTTTCATTTTGTTGCTAGGAGGGTATCTGTGGTTACCTTGATCTAAACTCATTGAGTTAGGTTTTAGAAACACTAGATGAGTGACGGCTAGAATCCTCCGCTAGGATTCTGGGTTGGTTTCTAGAAGTCGTCGTAGGGTGTTCGCTTGCGAGCTTTCCAGATACCTGAACTAAATGTAAGTGTGGATATGTCGCTTATTGTCGACATAGGTAGTAACACTTGTTTCTTTTTGTTTCAGGTATCTGGAGTTAAGCTACTAGAAATGTCATCCAGTGACCAAAGTATAGAGAAATGTTTCGCAGAAGGCTACTTGGCAATTTTAACAGAGTCCGAGGAAAGAGTTATGTAAGAACTCATAATTGAGGTCTCATGGAGTACAAGTGAGGAACCTATTGAATTGAAACCCCTACGAACATTTAGGCCTAGGAAATGCAGGTTTACGGATCAGATTTACGCAGTGGAATACAAAAATATTTTGATCCATAAACCTTTGAACCCTAGGATCCTTATACTCGTTTTACGTTGTTTGCATATGAAATAAGCATTAAACAATAATTTCATATTTCATACCAGTGTTTGGAGGCTCCTTCAATGAATTTGGATTGCGCACTATTTAAAGTGCAATTAAAATCAAAACTAAATAATTCACTCACATCCTTGATCCATTTACGTCAATGCCATGAATTTGTTTGAAACCATTGGCAACTAGTCGTGCCTTGTAGGTATGCACGTTGCCATCCATGTCAGTCTTCTTCTTGAAGACCCATTTACACTCTATGGGTTTTATCCCTTCAAGTGGATCCACTAGAGGCCATATTTGGTTTTGGTACATGGAGTCCATTTTAAATTTTATGGCTTCAAGCCATTTAACGGAATTTGGATCCAATATAGCGTCATTATAGGTTCTGGGTTCCTTGTTTTGGTAGACTAGTTGTTGCCATGTTGAGTCACGAGAAGCCATATCTCTCGGGCTCATGACGTACTCTTCTAGACCTATGTAGCTCCTATGCTACTTGAGATGGTTCACTTTGATCCACAGATTGTGGAGTAACCTCCTCATGATGTTCAACCATTTCTTGTGGCACATCATCCCATCCTTTGTTTAATGTATCTTGTGGTACTAGAACTTCATCGAGTTTTACTTTTCTCCCGCTAGTACCTCTTAGAAGAAATTCCTACTCTAAGAAGACACCAGTATGAGCAACAAAAATTTTGTGCTCTTTTGGGTGGTAAAAATTGTATCATTTGGTCTCCTTAACCCCACAAATATACATTTATTAGATTTCGGGCCCATCTTGTTCGAAGTCAATTTTTCAACATAAGCTTCACAACCCCAAATCTTCATATAAGACAAGTTGGGCTTTCTCCCACTCCATAGTTCGTATGAAGTCTTATCCACAGACTTTGACAGCACACGGTTCAGTATGTGAGTCGGTGTCTCTAAGCGTAACCTGTAATACCCACATTCAAAAATATGGTAGGGATTATTTTATAGTCATAGTGAATATAGTTAACTATTTTTATAGAGGAATTCCATAAAAGTTTCAATAGGGGCAAAATGGTCATTTCACACAGAATCACGTGTTCAAGTGAAAAGTGAGTATGATAAATATAATGTATTAAGTATGCTAGCCATGAGAATAGAGTGGTAGAAAGATTATAGAAAATACACGTGGTGTGATGCCGAGATAAATACGTGTTTGTAAAGTAATAGAAAGAAATTAAAGAACAAGGGTAAAATGGTCTTTTTACTCACAACTAGATGAAAGAGTGGGGAGTAAAAATGACCAAGAACATGTGTTAAATCATTTGAAAGTGAGGGTATATCGGTAAATACACGTAGGGCATAATTGGAATCATAAAAGTACAAGGGCAAAATGGGAATATACATATATATATATATATAAGGTTTCAATAAACTAAACACTAGCATTCCCATCCCTGGTACACGCCACCCCTCATCCAATTTCTCTCAAACTTCTTCACCGAATTTCAAAGAGAATTCATAGGATTTGGCTTAAATTTTTGTAGATTTTCAATCCTAAAGCATCCAAAGGTAAGATTCTAGTACAAAGGTGTGTGATTAAACTTTAAAGTTTTAAATTCTTATGGTTTTATATGATTTAGGTCAAGAGGAAGAGAATTTTAGCAAAGCGAGGTTATATAATTAGTGTTGCACAAATTCAAGGTAAGTAAATCCAATTTTAGTTTTGATTTAAGCAATAATTGTGTAGATTGATTCTTGTATGTTTGTAAGTGATTGTATGGTGAGAATTATTGGCTGTTTTAATGTTGAATGATGTGTAAAATTCCAGCCATGAGAAGTAGTTCATATGTATGTGGTGATTTGGTAGAATTATGGATGAAATATGGAAGAATTGTTGATGAAATTTTGAAGTGTTGAATCCGGCCAGATTTGAAGTTAAATTTAGTGAGTTTTTGCTCCAATTTTGGTGGACTTGGAGAGACGTGGAAGTGTGGCCAACTAAGTATTTGCATGTGCATGTGAATTGTTTGATGAAAATTCAAAGAGAAATGCATGCATGAGTTTGTTAAATCTTATTGAAGAAATTGTTAGAGAAAGAAAAGAATTGGAGTTGAAAGGTTATGTTAGGCTTAACCAAGTGTAAATTTTAGTATTCAAGAGTGCATTTTGTTATGCCAAAAATTTAGAATATCACTTGGTCATGTTAGTTCAATGAGATAAATGGCTTTTAGTGCATGGTTCAAGTTACTTGAACCCTTAGTATTTCTTCAATAGCATATTTTATTTAGTTATTGAATTAGAAATTGTGAAACTTATGACTTTGGGAAAGTGTTAGAAGGGATTTACATGTTAAATTGTTACTTTGATATGACATTGTTGATAGTAGAGAATGGTAGATTATGTCATGACATATCAATATGCCATAATAAATTCTCAAGTTTGTGTACTTGAATTTAGAAAGATCATCCAAATAATGGCTTGGCCAAATAAGTATATTGTTGTTTCTTGTTTTGAGATTAATTACAAACAATATGTAATAAGTGATTTTATTGTATAAAGAATAGAAAAGCTTTCCCAAGTATAAATATCAAAGAAACGTCAAAGAAATAGAAGTTTAGTTTATGTATTAAATACATGACCATTTTAGAAATTGATTGGTATGAGTATAGTTTTCATGTCTTATTATATATTACAAGCCATAGAATTTGCTAGAAGATCTTGAGAATATTTTTGTATTGGCCAAAAGTTTAGTTAAGAATGTTAGAAAGAAATTAGAATTTAGCCAAAGTATATATGTTGTGCCATATGTTAGACTGACTTTTCAATGATTAATATGGCAACAAAGATTAATGTATAGAATGTAGCCAAAAGAAAAGAAGAAAGAAGGGCAGGTATAACAATTGAAGTTGATGATCATGTAAGAAAATGCAAATTTATGGCATTAAGATTTGTATTTAGAAAGTTGTACAAGACATGTTTGTTACATTAGAAAAATATTAGAGAGTTGTTTAATGACATGGTTAGGTGATATATAAGTTTGGGAAAATCTAGTTGCATAATTGGGCAAGTTAGTAGACTTAATACCTAAGTTGTGGCATAACTTTTTATAGAAGAAATTAGATTGCCCAAAATGTAGAATTCATTCCCTAGTTGAATTGTGCCATTTTAATATCTCACTAATAGAATTATAGAAGAGTAGAATTTGTGAGAGATAATGTACTTGTGTACGTGTACATTTTACATAGTGTTATAGAATTAAAGAATTATGTAGAAATTATAGAATCGCGTACGTACACACGATGTATAGAATTCAAAAATAAAGAATAAAATAAAAAATATTTAAGTTAAGCGTGTTACTAGAATAAAACTTTGGGCTTTCCAGAAAAGTATAGAAAAAAAAGCCTTAGAATTAATAGAATACATGCCAAAGTTAGACACGTATTTTGGGATCATGCATAGACAGCATATAAATGCATGACATAGCATAGCATATATTTCAGAAATTTTAAAATTATTGGAAAATGTCTAGCTAGTTATTTTGTAGATTTATAGAGCATGTTTTCAGAGGGCTGTTACGATGGGGAACCTGTGAGCATTCGCTGCGTTAGCTAGTGGCGACAGAGATGCAGAAGTTTCTCACATGCACGCTACCATCAATGAGCGGCCTCAGAATAGAAAACAGAATTGTACAGTCCGCTAAAAGTGCATATGGATGAGGACTATACCCAGAAAGAATTTTAGAATATGCTCACACGGCCAAGGTTCCAAATCCATGCCTCAGCCTAGTTCGATCGGCAAATTAGAACAGAATACAGAAAAAAATTCAGAAAAAGAAATAGAAAATAGAAATAATTTCAAAAAAGAAAAAAAGAAAATAGAATAAGAAATAGAAAACTAAAAGAATTCGAGAAAGAAAGAGAAATAATTTCAGAAAGAATTAGAAAAGAATTTTCAGAAAGAATACAAACATGATCATTTGCATATGCATTAGACATTTTATGTGCATTGCATCTCATGCATTTATGCATGATTAAACAATTTATTTTATTATTGCGTGTCTGACAAGAATAGAAAATAGAAGCCCACGAGAATAGAGAAGAAAAGAAAATAGAAGCCCATAAGAATATAGAAGAAAAGGAAATAGAAACCCATGAGAATAGAGAAGAAAAGAAAATAGAAGTGTACGAGAATAGAAAAGAAATTAGAGATATACAAGAAAAGAACAGAAATTAGATACATACTAGAAAAGAACAGAAATTAGAAACATGACAAATAGCAAGGAAACTTAGCGATTTGTTGAGTAGAGAAAGAAACAGAAAGTTATAATCTAGCAGAGAAGAGAAATAAAATAATAAAGAATAGCACAACACTAGAAGGATTTAGAAAGATTTGAGAAAAATATAAGATTGCTAAGTAGTACGCCTGAGAATAAGGAGAGAAAGCAAGTAGAAATTTAGAAGCAGTACAACAAAAATGGGGATAGCGGATTAAAAGCATAGTTAGATTTGGTTTACTTACTGAGGATTTATAGCTCACCCCGTTGCTTTCCTTATTTTTGCAGGTATTAGATTGTAGTGGTCGGGAGACGTCAAGCTGGCGAGAGGATTGCACACACTGTCTCAGTGAAGAAATTTAATGTGGATTTATATATGCGAGAAATAATCTTTGTGTAATAGTATTTATAACTGGATTAAGGATACAAATTTTAGACGAACACCCTTTTTAAACTAGCAATTCTCTGGATTCTCTCTATAGGATACTCAGTGAATACTTGCCTAGTGAGACATTTCATAACCCTAGAATGATGCGAGTAGATCACTTAAACTCATCATAGACCTAACCATATCAAGTAATTTAGGTCCCATTCCTCCTTTTTAACACACCATTGTATTGGGGTGTATAAAGAGGAGTGAGTTGTGATACTATCCCACACTCATTTAGGTATTCATAAAACCCAGAGCTCAAGTATTCACCTTCTCTATCTAACCGAAGAGCTTTAACACTCTTGCCCAACATATTCTGTACTTCATTCTTGAATTCTTTGAATTTATCAAAGGCTTCAGATTTTTGTCTCATAAGATAGACATAACCATATCTACTGAAGTCATCAGTAAATGTGATGAAGTATGAATATCCATCTCTGGCTTCAATTGTTAGTGGACCACATACATCACTATAGATGATGCTTAACAATTCAGTAGCCCTTTCACTTTGTCCTATGAAAGGAGATTTGGTCATCTTTCCTAAAAGGTATGACTCACATACCTTAAATGACAAGAAATCAAAAGGGTCCAAAACTCCATCTTTGTGAAGTTTTGCGATGTGGGTCTGATTAATATGACCCAGTCTACAATGCCAAAGGTATGTTTGGGTTTGTTCGTTATGCTTAGCTTTCTTTGTTTTAACATTGAGAATATCCTTATTGTTTAAATCAAGAACATATAATCCATTATATAACCTTACAGTTCCAAATAGGATACCATTCAAACTAAAGGAAAGCAATCTATTAGAAATTTTAAAATGATATCCCATATCATCCAAAGCATATACTAAAATAATATTTCTGGGAATTGAAGGTACGATATAATAGTTATTTAGTTCCAATAATAAGCTCGTAGGAAAAGTCAAACAATAAGATCCTACAGCTAATGCAGCCACATGTGCTCTATTTTCAACTCGTAGTTCCACCTCTCCCTTGGCGAGCAATCTACTCTGCCTTAGTTCCTACACATCAGTACAAATGTGAGTACCACATCAAGATGTTAAAGGGGAGAATTTAATCTCAATCATGTACATACTTGAATTTGAAGCGTTTGACTTTTTCTGGCTTGCGAGGAAAGCCTTGTAGTGTTTCCTCTAGTGGCCAAGCTTGCCACAATAGAAGCATACTATCTTCCCACTTTTCCAATTGCACCCTCAGGCTTAAGAGCATCCTATCCTTGGGTTTGGACTTGGGATAGACCTTGGCCTTTCCCTTACCCTTACCTTTGCCTTTACCAGTAGCAACCAGTAAAACATGTTTGGACTTTTTCAAGTCCCGCTCCACAATCCCCAGCATATTTAGGAGCTCTGATGGGGACTTTCTCATCATGTTAATATTGAAGTTCATTATGAATGGTAAATAAGAATTAGGTAGTGACTGCAGAATTAAGTCACATTGTAATTTTGCATCAACACCAAAACCCAAAGTCTCAAGCCTCTCCATGTGCCCAATCATCTTGAGCACATGAGGACCAAGTTGGGCTCCCTCAGCCATTCAGCTCTTAAACTATGCCTTTGACACCTTATACCTCTCATGTCGAGTATTCTTTTGATATAGCTCATTGAGGTGCAAAATTATGGCATGTGCATCCATATTCTCATGCTGTTTTTGTAGTTTAGATGTCATTGATGCTAGCATAATGCATTGAACATTATTAGCATCATCAAGGTACTTTTGATAAGTATCCTTAACTTCCTGAGTGGCATCGAGTGCAGGCTCAGTTGGATAAGATTCATCAAGGACATACAATTTCTTTTCGGACTTAAGTACAATCCAAAGATTTCAATACCAGTCCAAGAAATTGGATCCATCTAGCCTGTTGTCTTTCTTGATTATCGGTCGTAGTGATAGGTTAGTATTACTCATTTTAATGAATCTACAAGTGCAGAAAAACAAATGTTGTTATAATTTTTATTATTATTTAATAAGATCTTTTATTAAATAATTGCTCCCACTATTTTCCTCAAGGTAATAGCTTTCACTATTAACCCAACAAAGCCTATTAGCTTTCCTAGTGGATCGAGATCCTATCTAGCTTATTTCAAACCTTTGCATTAGTGAACAAGCCAAAATGGGTTGATTAGGTAGGTCAACAAACTTCATACACACCAGTGATAGCTCTTATTACCAACCTCAAATGCAAATTAAGCCGACAAACCAATCACACAATTCAATGGTCAAAACCATTGTCCTCAAGTGTGATTCTCAATATCAATAGAGAGGATACTACACGTCACCACGTACACATAACAAGTGTACTTCTCTACTATGCCTATGATGTGTTTATGAACCTTCGCTTTGGCGAACAAGCAAAACACATCATTTAAGTTAACCCATCACCATTAAGGAAAACTCCAATGATGTTTGACCTCCTACTGGTAGAAGTGTATCCTTCGCTTTAACAAACAAGGTTCTAACGAATAATGGTTTGATCAAACCCATGGTGATGGAAGGCGTTTAAATTAATTGACTTAATATACTTTTGTTGAGGGGTTTTTATTTTATATCTCACCAATTTTATCTTTATTAGCATCTTATAGTGATAACATACACCCTTAGCATGCATACTAAGCATTAAGGAAATGTGATGGTGCATAGCCTTAACTAAAACCAATTCCCTCGAGCCTAGAGGAATCGGTTGGTCAACCTAGGTTTAAATAAATAAATGGATTCTTCAAGTAATTTGCTTTCTTCTTTTAATTGCTTTTTCTTGAACATTACACAACTTTCAAAACAGAATTACATTTTACATAATTGAAAAGAAACCTCGAGTTACATTCGAGGGGAGTGAGATGAGAGAGAGAAGTTACATTAGAGAGTATACAGAGAAAGGCAGGGCACACAAACCCTATTTTAAAATTACATAATCCAAAAATTCTTAAACTAGGTTCATAGGCTTATGCACCAAACACCATGGATATTCATAAACAAGAAGATGCATAAACAATCAAAATTAAATTTTGATTAAGTTGGTAAATTACAAGTTACCCCCTTGATTTCGACAGTGTTACGTTTTAGTCCAACGAATTTTAAAATTTTCATTTTAGTTCCTTGTTATTGGGCCTCACTCAATTGGGCCTCCAGAATGTTTCTAACATGCAACATCATACAATAGAAAATTATGGATTTAAAACTATCGCATAACGATGTGATCATGGCCCAAAATTCAGCCCATTGCATCAATACGTGTGCTGTCCAAAAATTCCAGATTTGGTGTGCGTTTTAACGTGCACCATATCAAGTCCTTTGTTGAAAAACCAGGTGCTGGTCAAGGCCAAGTGTGGGGAGCACTTGGACACCATGAGGCACCTCACATGGCACAAATTAGGGAGGATAGCTGCAATGCACTCGCATGTACTGCTGCTCACGGCAACAACCTTTGTGTAGTCGCACAAGGCTATTGTTGTGCCGTTTGCAGAGGAAAAACCCAAGGCAACATGCCTGAGCATGCGGCCAACACTCCCCATGCACGACAGCGTGCAACAGCAATGCTGCTGCTCACATTCTGTCCACCAGTGGTGTGTGTTTGCACGTTGCTACTACTACTGTGCGCGACAGCACACAACAGCAACACATTGCCCTTCACAGTAGCGTACTCCAATGATTGAAATCAAGTGTTATTTAATTTCGATCAAACACGAACAAATGCAATATCACAAAAACAACACACATAAACCACTACAAATTTTTAATCAATTTTTCAGATTTTAAACATGTTAAAACCCTAATTGATACACATCCAAACGTTATATTAAAAAACATAATAAGGTATAAGAGGCTTTGATACCACAGTAGGTTTATGGATCAGATTTACGCAGCGGAATACAAAAATATTTTGATCCATAAACCTTTGAACCCTAAGATCCTTATACCCGTTTTACGTTGTTTGCATATGAAATAAGCAGTAAACAATAATTTCATATTTCATACCAGCGTTTAGAGGCTCCTTCAATGAATTTGGATTTGCTTCCACTCTAAGATAAGAGTAAACTCCTAGTATCCACACAAAGACATGATGTCAATCTCCAAAGGGCTTTATGTGCTAGCCAAACCTCAATGGATCAAGGATATGAGTGCAGAATTTTTCCTTTGGAAAAAAAAACTTCTCCTTCAACAATGGAGTCCATGGTTTTGGGAGAGTGAGAGAGAAAGAGAGAGAGAGAGAGAGAGAGAGGGCAGCTAGGGTTTTTTTTTTTTTTTTTTTTGAGTGAATTATTTAGTTTTGATTTTAATTGCACTTTAAATAGTGAACAAGCAAAAACCCTAATCTAATATGGAATTGTATTCAACTACTTCCATATTTATATTAGACATATTCCATTACCAAATGAAGGTAATTCCCACATGGTATTTAAATTTCAAATTTAAATTTGATTTTGTACTATCTTTATTAATATTAATATTAATTAATAATATAACATTTATATAAATACACACACACACACACACACACACACACACAATCTCACTTATTTTAATTTCCATATGAAATTAAATAAAGGCAACAACCTCCGTAAATTTAATTATACTATGAGATTACCAAATACCTTATTCATCTTAAAAGATGAAAATACCCTTCTCACTTATTTATTCTTAATCTGTCTTCTATGTCTGCAACACGAAGGCTCCTCATCATATTGACAGTGAGTAGTATTGCGATTGACACCGAATCAATCGTCTCACTAAGTATAGACCAAGATTGGCCTCTATCAAGGCATCATGGCCACCTGATAGATTCAGATTTAGCGAAACAACTTTCTAATCAACGATATTGTTATCGTGCAATCAAATCATTTCATCATACATGATCTCATCAAGGCTAAGGTACAAAAGTAGTATCAACCTCAGATATCCTTGACATCTCGGTATTCGGTTATTAGACCAACAACCGGAATAGATTGGATTGAGCTACAACTTAATCCCATTGTGGCCACAGATTTAGTCTTGTTGCCATTTACTGAATTGCTCAGTGAGATAATTTCTCTCATACCTGGGAGTGATGAATCCTTTGTTAATCCACCATAGTCTTGATACACTTTTTGATGTAACCAATCACTGCTATTCTAATAGCTCTAAATAGAACTACGTTGGATTAGAGTCAAACTAAACCAATTGGTGTATAAGGCGCTCCAGTGATCTGAAGTCTAAGGATCACATGCACCACCATCCATTAGAGGATTTATTCCACAAACACTGGGGTTACCATCTTTGTGAAATCCTTTGGCGGGTCTGCCTAGTGAACTTGCCTATGACAAGCATCCATGTGTTGCACTAGGTTGTTAGCAAACAACCTTAACAAGTGAGATCAATCACTACCTTTCGACATGGTCGTTCAACACTTTGATAGCATTATCGTATTATTTGTGTCTTTAGTCAGAATAATATAGGTCTACAGACATTTCTAGAATAGCCACCTTATGTGATCATAGGGTCCTCATTATCGAGATTTGAAATACTCGATACCCTTGGCACGGTTCTACCATTCTAAGGACATACATCACAACATATAATAAATATGAATTACATAATGTAGAAACAACCTTTTTATTGATCATAAACCATAATAGATTGACTCTAGGGCACCTATTATAACAGGAAAGAACAGATGTTGTCGATCACTATCAAGGATATTGAACGCATAAAAAAGGAGTATGTGATCGAGAGCCCCCTCTATCCACTTAAGGATTACTCAAGAAAGGATCCCCCCAATGGCTGGGTGGCGATCTTTGAGACCTTTTTGAGGTGTGGAGTGTCAATCCCATCTCACTCCTTTATTGCCAACATTTTAGCGTTGCCCTCCTTCAATTGTCGAGGAATTCATACATTATAATAGTAGGAATGTACATAGCTTTTATGTTAGTTGGTCTAGACGAGTTATCTGTCGAAGAGCTCGTTCAGCTATATAACCTAAAGAAAAGTCAGGATGATACATATTACTTCTTTAAGGCAAAGAGAAAATGCCTCAAAGGATTGGTCAGGGTCCCAAAGAAGACTGAGAACTGGGACTCCGAATATTTTTTCTTTCAGTACGGAGATATTGGTTTCTTCAGGAATGAATCATGTATGTGTTCTTTTATTTTCTTCGCAGTTAAGTGTCCAGTAGTCGGGCTATAGATAACGTATTGTTTTTTCTTTGCAGAGAACTGTGAGCGAAACTTTGCACTAGAAAGCTCGTTATGGCGATTGGAAGCTTTTAGTGCTCTACCTAAAGGATATCGCAATGTGATTGCACTAATCACTCTCTTGTGCTTGATTTCATTTACGTTTTGCTTTCCTTCTATGAGGTTCAACATTATCTTTGAGAAAGGTTAGTACCAATTTGCTCGCTTTTGGAGTTGTAATGCTTTTTAGTAGAAATCTGATGTGTCATCGTTTTCATAGACATGAAGGTTGCTAAGAGGCCTAAGAGCTTAAAAAAAAAGCCCACGATTGCTACTAAGATGAAGAAACAGGTCACATCTTCCTACCACCCGAGCAAAGTTGACCCTAAACCAAGGTTCTGAGCCAGTACTAAGAGATTCGGAGTCGAGCTTGTAGGAGCCTCGAGCTCAGAGAAGCCTGCAATTAAGCCTAAGAGCTAGAGACGAGTTAAAACAGAGGAACAGGAATATTTACCTTTTCATCTCCATATTTGGCCCGAAACGTGCCATGGCTTTTTGATGAGGATCTCTAGGCAGCAGGGGATTTTGTTCCCAAGTCTCATCATGTACTTGAGAATAACATATGACTCCGGGGTTCTTTTTTGTCATGAACAAGCAGAGTGTTGATAACAAAAAAGGCACCATCAAAGATCCAACTAACCGTGATGAACGAATATATGCCTGATTAATTAAAATAGCAAAGAGTGTAATGTAAATGACAAAATAAAAAGACAACAAAAAGTTTTTAAAGTGGTTTGGAGAGGCTGCTTCTCAAACCTACATCCACTGTGTTTATTGCTTTGCCTTTTCTGAATAATAATTGTAAACCCCTTCTACATCGTTCTTTGTGGGTATTTATACATGGATTTCAAAATGGAAATGAGCTAAATCCGGGATAGCATCACACTTGATGTATATCCCGTGATTTCTGCGATTGTGCGTCAAAGCGAGCTAAAAGGATTTGGCAATATCCTCTTTGAAATATCAAGAGATCTGGACTTATCCTTTGAGTCGTCGGATACCCGTTAAGTAGGTCACGACGAACTTTGCTTTGGTCAAGCTTATCTCTTGAGACCTTAAAATCGCAGCGAGCTCTATAGGTCAGTGACTTCATGTTCACGAGCTATTGACATTTCGAGCTTACAGCAAATTCACCACCACATATGCCCCCAGTGCTCGGAGGTCGGGTCGAGCTTCGAAAACTGAATCCTTGAGGTTTGTTTGTTATGCTCGATCCTTCACTGACCTAACTCATGCAAACATGATTTGTTAGAATTTTGACGGCTGTAATATGCAACCTCGCTCACGGTGACGTGCTTAAAACTCTGAAGCTTTTCATTCAACGGTTCTAAAGTTGCAAATAATAGGCATTAAGGTAATCTTTCGAGCTGCTGTTATGCATAAAATGCTGTCGTACATGGAGTTAATTTTTGTTGCACGTTTTACAACGATAGTTGGCCATCGTGTAATCGAAGCGACGTGTAGCTACCGTTTTGATACTGGGAATGGCGGTTGTCGCCCTTCACGGATCGTCGCCACGTGTCCTGATTGAGTGGATCAGATTGCTCGATGATGGAGGGCTGAGATTCATCATCAATGAACGGCCAGATCACTTCCAGCCCAATTTTGACACTATCAAACGGGCTTTGCAACCTAATTTTTTAGAAAATTTAACTTGGACTTTTCAGCTTCTCTCTCTCTCTCTCTCAACCACATTTCTCTAAGTTTCTCCACTGCAATTTTCCATGAAAACTCATTTTCCTTTGCATGTAAGTACTCTAACCTTGCTTTTCGATTTCCTTTGTTTTAAGTGTTTCATTTTGTTGCTAGGAGGGTATTTGTGGTTACCTTGATCTAAACTCATGAGTTAGGTTTTAGAACACTAAGATGAACGGCCAAATCTCTGCTAGGATTTTGGGTTGGTTGCTAGAAGTCATCGTAGGGTGTTCGCTTGCGAGCTTTCCATACCTGAACTAAATGTAAGTTGGATATGTCGCTTATTGTCGACATAGGTAGTAACACGTGTGTTCTTCGTGTTTCAGGTATCTGGAGTTAAGCTACTAGAAATGTCGTCCAGTGACCAAAGTATAGAGAAACGTTTCGTAGAAGGCTACTTGGCATTTTAACTGGTCCGAGGAAAGAGTTCTGTAAGAACTCACAATTGAGGTCTCATGGAGTACAAGTGAGGAACCACCATTGAAGGTGAACCCCTGCGAACATTTAGGCTTGGAAATGCCGTTTACGGATCAGATTTACGCAGCGGAATACAAAAATATTTTGATCCATAAACCTTTGAACCCTAGGATCCTTATACCCGTTTTACGTTGTTTGCATATGAAATAAGCATTAACAATAATTTCATATTCATACCAGCGTTT